CCCCTCCTATGCCTGGATAGCTGTCAAACTCTCCCTTTTTGTCCATCAAGATTTGCTTTATATATTTAGGTGCTCCTATGTTGGGTACATAAATGTTTACAGAGGTTATGTCCCCTTGTTGGATTGCTCCCTTTATCATTATGTAGGGTCCTTAGTTGTCTCTTAAGATAGTCTTTGTAAGTCTATTTTGTCACATATAGGTATTGCTTCCCCAGCTTTTTTTTCATTTTAATTTGCATAAAATATATTTTTTCTATTCCTTTTAGTCTGTATATCACTTTCTGTGGTAGGACTTGTTTTCCCATCCATTCAGCTACCATGTTTTTTGATTGGAGCATTCACATTTAAAATGATTATTGATAAGTATGCATATTTTTTCATTCTATTCTTTTAACTATGTTCCTCTTTTTTTCTCTTTCTTGACCCTTTAACAGTTCTTTAATATTAGTTTGGTGGTAAGGAGCTTCTTTAGCTTTTGGTTGTCTGGAAAGCTCTTTATTTCTCCATCAATTTTAAATGAAAGCCTTGCTGGATAGAGTCTTGGTTGTAGTTCCTTCCTTTACATCACACTGAATATTTTCTGCCAATCCTTCTGACTTGAAATGTTTCTATTGAGAAATGTGCTGTAGTCTTCAGGGAGCTCCCTTGTAGGTAACTAACTAAATTTCTCTTACTGCTTTTTCTCTTTATTCTTAATCTTTGCCATTTTAATTATGATGTGTTTTGGTGTGGGACTATTTGCATTCATCTTACTTGGGACTCACTGTGCGTCCTGGACTTGCCTTTTTCCTTCACCAGGTTTGGGAAGTTTCCGTCATTATTTCTTTTAATAGGCTCTTGATCCACTGCTCTTTCTTTTCTCCTTCTTTTACTCATTTGATGCAATTCATGTTGTTAGGATTCATTTTGTCCCAAAGATCCCTTAAACAGTCCTCATTTTTACTTTTTTTTTTCTTCTCTGATTGTCTTCTGCTACCTTGTCTTCCAAACAGATTCAATCCTCTGCTTCATTCTCTTGCCCATGATTTCTAGTGTACTATTCATTTCAGACATTGTATCCTTTATTTCTAACTTATTTTTCATGCTCACTATCTCTTTATTGAAATTCTTATTGATTTCATCCATTCTTCCTCTAAGTTCATTTAGGATCCTTATAAGCATTTTTTTTTAATTCTGTATCTGGTAGGTTACTTGCCTCTACTTCACTGATTTTGTTTTTTGAACGTGTCTGATGTACTTTAAGGGGGAAAATTTTTCTTTGAGTCCCCATTTTGGCTATTTGGGTGGTTATATATCTATGTATTAGACTATTAGACACTCAATCTTGGTAGTGTGGCCTTATGTAGTAGGTGTCCTGAGGGACGTATTGTCACAGTCTTCTTTTATCCAGAGCTGAGTGTTCCAAGAATGTCCCTTGTGTGTGTTGTATGGGCTCTCCTGTTGTAGTTGAGTCTATATTGCTGTTGGCTTATTTATGTACGTGGCTGACCTTCAGGGTGGCTGACTGTGAGGATCACCCCTGACCACATTGAATGAGCTGCTGCACAGGTGCTGTCCACATGGAGCAGAATTCGCCTCAGCAGGTTCTGCTGTCCTGTAAGATCTCCCTTTGGATATGCTTCTTGTGAAGCAACTGGGTCATGCTCTGATGTCATCTGCAGTTGGCCCCTGTGTGGGTTGAACTGCATGCAAGTGAGAGGGACTCTGGTGCTGGCCAATGTCAGATGCTTCCTGTGACTGGCCATGGGACCTCTATTTGGAGCTGAAAACAATTCACAGTGTGTGGCTGCCTCTGCTGGTTCAGAGTGAGAGCAGGAAGGTCCAAGCAGTGCACCAAGTCTGCCTTTTACCTGTACTGGATGAGGGAAGGTCAGCAAAAGTCCCAAGGTGCCCCTGTGTTCTGCCTCTGCCGACCTCCACATGTGGGTGCCTGTTAGTCTCGGTCACTCAAAGAGCCTCTGGAGGGACTCAAGTTGCATGAAGTATTTTCTCAGTGAGTCCTCAGGAAGGGACGAGCGTTGGTCATCAGATTGATACAGGTTTAAACTTGGTGACTGTGCAGAGACTGTCGCCATTCAGCAAATGCCCCATGGTATACTTGTCCTAGCTTCCACCTACTGGGTCCTCACACACCTTTGAGCAGTGTACAAGAGACTCAGACCCGGCTTTCTTGTAAGAGTAGAATTAAAAGGTCCAAACATTCCTCATGGCAGGACTTAGGTTGGCGGGGATGTATATTCTGACATCAGCCATGTGAGCTCAAGGACTTTGCAGAGGGTGTGTGGGTTGTCAGAGGCCATGGAGCTGCTTCCTGCTGTGGACTATTCATGGTCCCCTGGTTGCAGCTGGAGAGTGAGAGCATGGGGGGGTCACGCAGCTCTGACCCGGTAACTATTTCCCGCACAGTTTAGTTCCCTCTTGTGTGCCTGATCCCAGCAGATAGGACCCTCCATTTCCATCCTAAGATAACTGCAGTTCTCTTCAGATGTCTGACCAGATGCATGTTCAATGGCAGCCTGAGCAGCACCAACCCTGCCTTCTTTCCTCAAGGCTGAGTGAGCCAGGCTGGCTGGGGGGCAGAAAACGGCAGTTACAGGTCCCTTGGGTGGGTTGAAATGCTATTAGAACCATTAAGATTTTTTTAAATGTTTTTTTCCTTTGTCTGCACCTTCACTAGAACAAAAGCAACCAAAGTGATGCTTAGCTGACTCTCATGGAAGCACAGTTCTGCCTGCACCAGTGCCACATGTCACCAGAGCAGTGAAGGGAGCTACTGGAGGAAGAAGACAGGGCATTCCTCTCCTAGCAGTGTAACACCCTCACAGGCATGATTCTGTCTGGAGAGCTGACCCCTGCTGGAGCGCTTAAGGCTTTTAGGCACCGACTGTACTGATCTGATTTATATTTTTTAAAGATCACTCTGATTTGCATTTTTATTTTTATTAAAAATTATTTTACTAATTTAATTTTTTTTCAATTAGAGATGACATTCAATATTAGTTTCCAGTGTATATAATAGTGGTTTGACATAAATATAACATATAGAGTGAACCGCTGATAAGTCTAGCATTGGGCAATCTTTTAAAAGGATATTAATCCTTATATGCGGGCTCCACCCTCATAACCTAATCACCCACAATAGACCCACCTTTTATTTATTTTAATCAAACTTATTTGGGTGACATTCATTAATAAAATTTCATAGGTCAGGTGTGCCATTCTATAATGCATCGTTTGTATATCGCATTGTGTGCTCACTGCCTTCAAGTCTCCTTCCACCACCATTAATCACCCCTATGCCCTCTTTTTCCTCCTCCCACCCCTCACCTGCCAACCCTATCCACCACTCCAAACACATCACCCCCACCTGCCACTCCACACCCCATACCCCCAGCACCACTTGTCACCCCACATTCACCAGCCCATCCTGCTACCCACACACCACACCCCAGCCCCCACCCACCACCCACCAGCCCCAACCCCCACTCCCACCCCCCCAACCCCTACCTACCACCCTTTACCCCCACACCCCACCCCCCACTCCCCACCCCCTCCCCCCACCCCCCTTCCCCTGCTTGTGATTTGACATTTGAAATGATATTTGAGATGTGTCCTGAGGGCTCAGGTAGGATTTAGACAGATGAAGAGGGTGAGAATGTGCTTCAGGTACAGACAGTGGCCACAGCCTGGAGGCAGGAGAGATGAACACTGGACAGACCAGAGCATATGCCCCTCAGATGCCTGTGAGTGAGGGGTCAGGACAGGGAAACAGAAGACCCTGCATGGAGGGAAAAGGCAGAGGGGAAAGGGGACCAACCACAGAGTGGTCAGAGCAGGGGAGACAGGGGCCCCTCCATGGGAAGGCAGGGCAGGGGGACAGGGCACCATGAGAGGGGGTGGGCAGTGGGGACAGGAGACCTTGGGAAGGGGCAGGGATTCAGAAGAGTGGATAGGAGACTTTCCATTGAAGCAACAGGACAGGGATAAGAAAGACCTCCGCCCTAACCGGTTGGGCTCAGTGGCTAGAGCATCAGCCTGTGGACTCAAGTGTCCCAGGTTCAATTCCAGTCAAGGGCATGTACCTTTGTTGAGGGTACGTCCCCAGTAGGGAGTGTGCACAGGAGGCAGCTGATCAATGTTTCTCTGTCATTGATTTTTCTAACTCTCTATCCCTCTCCCTTCCTCTCTGTAAAAAAAACAATAAAATATATTAAAGAAGCCGAAACCGGTTTGGCTCAGTGGATAGAGCGTCGGCCTGCGGACTGAAAGGTCCCAGGTTTGATTTCGGTCAAGGGCATGTACCTGGGTTGCGGGCACATCCCCAGTGGGGGATGTGCAGGAGGCAGCTGATCGATGTTTCTCTCTCATCGATGTTTCTGACTCTCTATCTCTCTCCCTTCCTCTCTGTGAAAAATCAATAAAATATATTTAAAAAAAATGTATATATATATATATATATATATATATATATATATATATTAAAGAAATAAAAATAAAAATCATCCTTCTCCCCTTAAAAAAAAAAAAAAAAAAAAAAAAAAAAAAGGAAGACCCTTCGTGGCTGTGACAGGGCATGGGGGACAGTGGACCCTTCTTGGTAAGGACAGGGGACCGTCCATGGAGGGCTCAGTGTCCCCACCTCCTGTCCCTTTTGGCCTGGCCCTCCTGCCCTATCCCATCCATGGATTGCCCCCTGTCCTTACCAAGCAGTGTCCACTGTCCTCCCTGCCCAGACACAGCCACGAAGGGTCTTCTTTTCCCTGCCCTGTTGCTTCAATGGAGTGTCCCTTATCCACACCGCCTTGTGGGGACAGAGCCAGGGGAGAGGTACCCCTCTATGGAGTGAGGAGAGCAGACCTTCTGTGGAGGGACATGGCAGAGGGATAGGGATCCCCCCTTTGAGGGAACAAGGAAAGGGTGAAATGGACTGTCCATGGCAGGAGCAAGACATGGAGGACAGGGAGCCATCCATGGAGGGGAAAGTGCAGGGGAACAGGACACCCCTGTCATGGTCCCCCTGGCACCGCTTATCTGCCCCTTCAAATGGGGGTTCTTTATCTCCTGCCCGTTCTCCTCCATGGATGGTCCCCTGTTTCCTCTGCTCTGTTCCCTGCATGGAGGGTCTCTGTGCTCCCTGCACTGCTCCCTCCATGAAGAATCCCTTGTTCACCCTTTCCTGACCCCTCAAAAGGTGGGGTGCACTATCCCCCTGCTCATTTTCCTCCACAGGCAGAGGGGAGGGCACCCCCCATGGAGGGTTCAGGACATTGTTTTTCTTGCCCTTCTTTCTCCAAGGAGGGTGCCTTCCCCTCTCTGCCCTGTCCTCACTCCATGGAGGGTGCCCCTCCACCTCTGCCCTTCCCTCCATGGAGGGTGTTCTCTCAACCCTTCCCTTTCCTCTCCATTGAGATGAATGTGCAGGGGTACCAGGAACCTCCCCTTTGATGGGCAGGATGGGGATGAATGGGGTACCCTACATGGAATCAGGACAGGAGGACCCTCCTTGAAAGGACAGGGCCCAGGGGAAAGGAGATCCTCCATGAAAGGGACAAGGAGGGGGACAGAGGACTTTCCATGGTGGTGAATGAGCAGGGGTACAAGGAACCCCCCACCTTTGAAGGATCATGGAGTATAAGCAGGAGGATAGGGAATTTCCTCTTTGAGGGGATCTTTGTATCCCTGCCCATTCCCCTCTCTGGAAAGAGGACCCTTTCTTCCTTGCCCTGACCCTCCCCCGGCCCTGCCCCAAAATTGGGATTCCCTATCCCCCATCCCATTCCCTTCCTTGGAAGGAACCTGTCCCCACTCCATGGAGCATGCTCCCAACACCATGCCCTGTCCCTTCAAAACGTGTTTCCTTGTACCCTGTCCATTCACCTCCACGAAGGGTCCCCTGTCTCTAATGCCTTGCTCCTTCCAAGGGGGGTGTCATCTCCACTCTGCCCTTTCCCCTCAAAGGAGGGCTCCTTGACCCCCTCCATGGAGAGTCCTCTTCCCCACCTGCCCTGTCACTCTGTGGAGCGTCCCCTCTCCTCACTTCCTGGAGGGTGCCCCCTGTCCCTACATGTCCCCTGAAAGGGAAGGGCTCCTTGTTCCACTGCCCATTCCTCTCCCTGGAGGACCTCCTTTCCTCCTCCCCTTTCCCTCCATGGAGGGTCCCCTGTCTCCAGCTCATGGAGGCTGCCCCCTCCCTCCTTCCCTGTCCACTCAAAGGGGGATTCATTTGTATGCCTGTCCATTCACCTCCATGGAGAGTCCCCTACCTCCCCTACTGATTCCTCTCAAAGGAGGGTGGCCCTTGCCCTCTACCCTGACCCTCCAGGGAGTGTTCTCTCTCTCCCTGCCCATTTTCCTCTATGGAGGGTGTCCTCTTGCACCTGCCTTGTACCTGGAGATGAATGGGCAGGGGTACAAGGAACCTCCCCTTTGAGGGGCAGGACAGGAAGGTGGGGGCACCCTTCATGGAGCGAGGACAAGAAACCTTCCATAAAGGGGACATGGAGTGGAGACAGGAGTCCCTTCATCGAGGGGAATCAGCAGGGGGATTGGGAACAGCGCCCTTGACTGGATAGGCCAGGGGAGATAGTGGAATCTCCATGGCATTGTATGGGCTGGCAGGCAAGGAACCCCCCTTTAGGGCACAAGGCAGAAGGGAGGGTGCACACTCCATAAAGTAAGGACAGGGGACACTCCACAGAGGGTCAGGGAAGAAAGGGAGGGAGAGGACCCTCCATGAAGGGGAATATGCAGGGGAATAGGGAGCATCCCCCGTTGAGTTACAGGGAAGAGGGAACTGGGCACTTTCCATGGGGTGGAGACAGGTGATCCTCCATGAAGGGAACTGGGAGGGGAAAAAGAGGAACCTACAGAAAGGAGAATGGCAGGGGTACAAGGAACATCTCAAAGGGATGGTTCCCTGTCTCCCTACTTAATGCCCTCCATGGAAAGCCCCCTTCACGCCCCACCCCTGCCTGCCCTGTCCCTCTGTGGAGGGACCCCTGTCCTCACTCCATGGAAGGTGCCTCCTCCCACTTGTTCTGCCCCTTAAGGGGGGGATTTCCTATCCCCATTGCCCATTCCCCTCAATAGAGAGTCCTCTTCCCCCATCCCCTGCCCGCCCTGTCGCCTCAAAGAGAGGCAGTTCTTTGAATGCTGCCTATTCTTCTCTCTGGAGTGTCCCTTTCCCTCCTCCCTTTCTCCTCCCTGGTGGTTCCCCTGTCTCCCTACATGGAGGTGACCCTCCTTCCTGTACTGTCAACTCAAAGCGGGGTTCATTGTATCCCTGCCCATACAACACCATGGAGATTCCCTTATCTCCCCTGGTTTATCCAGTCAAGGTGGGGGGATGGTTCCAAATCCCCTTACTGACTGCCCTCCATGGAATATGCCCTGTCACGCCTCTGTGATGCCTCCATGGAGAGTCCTTTGACACCATTCCATGGAGGGTTCCCCTCCATCATACTCTGCACCTCAAAGGGGGGTTTCCTTGTACCCCTGCCCACTCATCTTGATAGGAGGTCCATTTTTTCCCCTTCCCTGCCCCTCCACGGAGGGTTCCCTATCACCCAGCACTTCCCCTTCCATGAAGGGTCCCCTCTCCTCCCTGCCATGCCCTGCCCCTCCATGGAGGGTCTCTCTCTCCCTAACCTGTCCCCTCCATGGAGGATTCCCCATCCCCCTGCCCTGCCCTGAACCCTCCATTGAGGGTCCCCTCTCCTCTCTTCCCTCCCCATGAAGGTTTCCCTCTTCTCCCTGCCCTGCCCCATCCATGGAGGGTCCCATCTCCTCACTGATCCATGCCCTCCATGGAGGGTACCATTTCCTTCATGCCCTGCCCCATCCATGGAGTGTCCTCTCTCC